GACAAATGGATGCCCGACCTGGGCTCTTTTTTCACTCATTATGCTACTACATCATTTAACCTGTTCACGACGGACTTCTCCAAATCGAGGTCCAGATTAGACTTGGATATTGTATCAGATAGTTACTCACTCGTTTCCATGGGAAGGTTTTATGTGGAGAGCACTATCTCTACTAATAAGATCAGTACGCAAAGCACCATTTTCTCTTCTGTCCTTGTAGCCATTTTTCAAGTGACCTCGGTTCTTCAACCTTCCAAAACAGACAATAAGATATGGTGACAAATTGCTTCCCTTTCAGTGTCTTCGGTGGCATGCCGATCCCCTACCCCAAACGCGAATTCATCACCGACGATGAACCCGATGATAATAAGCAACAGCAGCAAGGAGCAGCAACGAAGACTGGGGGAGTGCCACCACCGCCACCACCACCACCACCACAACAGCAGCAACAACAACCACAACCGCAGCAGCAACAACAACAGCATCATCCACATCAACCGAAGGTTCAACAGCAGTCCACTGGTGGTGTTGTAGGCGGGGGAAGCGGTATGCACACGGTGCAGCATTATCCCTCTACATCAACTCAACCTCCTATGGTAAGGTGGTTGATGACAGGCGCAGCTTTTCTAGCATTCAGAAGGCTGTGCTATTCTGGCATGGTTTCTGACTTTTGTGCATTTTTTGCCTTTTCTTCCAAACATTGTATTTACGTAGTCCTTCAATCTGTACAAGGTCGGTGAAACCTTACGAAAATATCGTTGAATAATCATGTTATCAGCGATTTCGCTTTGGTATTGTCACATCCTACCGTCTGGTTTTCCGGTCGCCTAGTACACACTGCCTACGACCTTAATTTGGCTTTTCTAATGATTTGGTTCCTAGTGCCAGCTTCTCTAGAAAGCGGTTTTACTGTTTCATTGTTGTTGAAGATGCAGTATTTATTAAGCACAACTCATTATCCTGTTCTACTATTCTGTCTTTTCTGCAATTTCTTGGCCAGTTCTGACTTTCAAGAATAAAGTAGCAATCCATTAACTAGCATATTACTTTGCTTTGTGGTACAGTCCCCACTAAGTCATTGCCTTTTTTGCTGTGTAGTATTTCGCCTCTTCTTCGGCTCTGCCACCTATGGTAAGATGAGTCGTTTCTTTGTCTCAAGTTACTAAACAAAGTCCACGCCCTCCCCAACTGCATTTTTTTACCAGGGCTTGTTGTTTATTACATTCTTTGCTTTTCTGCTTGCGTACGCTTCTATTGCGTGTACCTTTCGGCGTTTGTGTTCCTTTAGTCCTGTTATTGGAAATGGTCTGGCTTTCATCAATTTTTTTGCTAAAGTTGCACCCAGGAGGCAATTTTTCCAGGCTTATTTTTGGTGCTTAATTTCGCCATAATATTGTTATTTGCCTTACCATTTTCGTATTCCATTAGATGAAGTTTCTTGAAGCGTTTCATCACAACATCTTTGAAATAGCTATTGAAGTGTTATTAATTGGTGTGCCAGTCTGCCTTGTTCTTTTCCAAGTCACAGTTGAATGACCAGCAGCTTCATTCCTAATGAGTACGAAGATTCATCCGCTAAACACTCCAAGCTTGCTCGTTGAGAACTAACGTTCAACTTGAATGTTTTCGAACTAACTATTTACGCAAGCCCCATGCGGAACATATCATGTCCTTGACTTTTTTTGACACAGGACTACCTTCCACCGCCTGCACAGCCTCCTATGGTAAGATAAACTCAGTTTGATTTTACAGTTCTTCCTCCGAAATTCTACTCGTTTGTAGTTGAGATTGAAAGGTTCTTCTGGTTGCTTTTAAGTGTCGCTTGTC